GAGTTGTAGTAGAGTGGGGAAAGATTGCTAAGGAGGAGTGTCAGAAATTGATAGAAAGTATGCCTAGGAGGGTAGCAGCAGTCATTAAAGCTAAGAGAGGAAACACTAAGTACTAGAATTATAGAGATTATGTATAATTGATTCAAACTCAAAAAAGTGTCCCAATGAGTCACCTAATTAAAATAGCCATATCTTCGCACGCACGGCGTCAATGGATTCTCACGCTATAGGGGACATAATTGTAGCCGAGAAGCGGAGCTTTTTGGGACCTCCCTTTGACTTAGTCAGATTCTCACACCCTGGCTCGCAATAACACAATTACATGAAAACCTACAAACATTGGGACACTTTTTTGAGCCACTGTATATCTTGCAATATCCATCTGCATCTGAACTGTCATGCAGGAATTTGAATGACAAAATGAATTTTCTGAATCTGCACAAAGACCCACTGGGATTTTTATATGCCTTTATGAGTACATCAGCCAAGCGATTGCACGCCATCACCTGATCAGTGTCTAGGTTGGGAGAAGGTATGACTGGGCCTCCTCCAGTCTTCTCTGCCTTGAATTTCTGTTTGGTATATTCCCCTGCTTCATAAGTCACAGTCAGGGCCCAAGTGCGCCAGATGTTTATGCTATCAGGAGGGGAAGGGGAAGAACTGTTCATGCTGGATGTTAATCTTGGGAAATCAGACGCTGAATGCTGGATGTCCGGACTTTGGTGTTATAGGGGGTGGAGATAGAGAGGATCAGATAAGGGAGCCTGGGATAATTTTGGCTGTCAAAGATGTATTATTATTCATTGCTCAATGAAATACTACCTGATTGGAAGTGTGCTGGTCATCAGATATTCATTTGTTGACTCCCGGGTCCCAGAACTTGGAAGTTGGTACGGTTGACCCATATTTGGGTGGTCGGAATTTGGTGTCTCATAGGGCAACACAAGCTTCGCACAGCCATGTCAGGAGATCACCTGCTGCTCTGGGAACTCGGTAACTTTGATTTATTACCTCCTCTGAGTATGGTTGACTCACATTTTGGTGGTCGGAACTTGGCTTCTCGTAGGGCAACACAAGCTTCACACCCCAGATTCCACATTCTGCAAGACAACCTAAGCACCATCAAAGGTCATGTCAAAAGAGCACCTGCTGCTCTCTTCAGAAACATCTCAACTTCAGTTGGCCATTTAACATGGAAAGTATTAACTAAATTATGTGTTGAGTTCCGGGTCCTGGAACTCAGTACAGTTGACTCAAATTCTGGTGGTCGGAACTTGGCTTCTTGTAGGGCAACACAAGCTTCGCACCCCGGATTCCACATTCTGCAAGACAACCTGTGCACCATCAAAAAGTATTAACTAAATTATGTGTTGAGTTCCGGGTCCCAGAACTCGGAACTCAGTGCAGTTGACTCAAATTCTGGTGGTCGGAACTTGGCGTCTCATAGGGCAACACAAGCTTTGCACTGCCATGTCAGGAGATCACCTGATGCTCTGAGAACTTGGTAACTTTGATTTATTACCTCCTCTGATTTGGTTGATGTACAACTACCTCAGCTCCATCATGTCTACAATTATGATACACATGGGCCCACTCATCTATATTTTATACCACCATCAGCCCACCCGTCTAATACAACATCCCATACAACACCCTCGGCCCACCGGTCTAATTAATATGTGTCTGGGCCCACCCGTATAATACAATATTTTATAATACCCTCGGCCCACCCGTCTAATACAATATTTTGTAATCCACCCATCTAATTTAATATGTGTCTGGGCCCACCCGTGAATGTGATAACAACTACCTACCCATCTATCCCATACACATCTACCTTAATACACCCATCTGCATAATATCCAATTACCTTGGCCCACCTGTCTACCTAATATTCATGTACATCGGCCCACTCATCTACTCTATATATTCCCTGCATGGGCCCACCCGCCTCCATCAGGAATAATTTGCCTCCTGGCCCATCCGTCATAGTCGAGGATATTGTTATCCTGGGCCCATGGTCCGCTGGCCCATATCATACGGGATATTATGCACGTCCGTTCCCTTGTATTATATGGAGATAGGTCACTGTAATATGTGCATGTACTGTAATGGGCAATGTAGAGACTCATGCCTCTCATGGTGCAATATGGCACCTTTCACTAGGAAGTTCACAGCATGAACTTGTAGTATCACTCTGTGTGCTACCCACAGCTATCCCTATATGAGGCGCAGCTTTCCTGTGCAATGCGCGCACCCTTCCCGCGCTTCGTGATGTATATGCGTGCGCACGTGTTCCTGTGCTTGAGCGCCCTATAGCACCAGCCATCCAGATCCATCCATCCACTGTCCTCTAAGTTCTCTAGTGCGTATATTTCCGTTTCTCTCATTTGTATATTGTTCCACCTTATTTTTATCATGGACCCTTACTTATAAATATCTTTACATACCTTACTCAGTAGCGCTTCGGCTCCGCATTACAGCGCTTAGGCGCGCTATATAAGCGCCAGCAGTAGATACTACTCCGGACTATTTTTTTTACCTTACTTCACCTCTCACTTTACCTAGCACTTACTACTTAGTAGAACATAGTAGAAATCTATTCCTCTACACTTCGCATCTCTCTTCACTTATCTTGCATTATATTATCACTTAAGCTTAGTCTCTCTATCATTTCCGCACGCGCTTTCCCACGCTTCGCGCTAATACGCGCGCATGTTCCCACGCCTTGCGCGCACCTGCATGCTTTCTCGTGATTCACTTCAGCGCATATCTCTAGACCCTTGCTGCACTTGCTTCCTCTTAAGGGTCGAACGCGCTTGCCACCTCAAGCATAGCAGACTAGGCAACGCACGACCTACAACATTTTTTAGATACAGTCAGGAGCATCATTTGTTTCTCACAGTATTGTTGTTTCTACAGTGAGCCCATCACTTTCATCGGGCCGTGATATGGGCTTGCTGGTGCAGTTCTATACATGGTGTTGTAGAGACTCATGCCTCTCATGGCCTGATATGGCAGTTTTCACTAGGGAGTACATAGCATGAACTTGTAGTGTCACTCTGTGCACTACCCGCAGCTATCTCTATATGAGGCGCAGCTTTCTCGCGCTTCACGATGTACATGCGCGCGCGCTTTCCCGCGCTTGATCACCCTATAGCGCCAGCCATCCAGATGCATCCATCCACTGTCCACCAAGCTCTCTAGTGTGTGTATTTCTGTTTCCCTTATTTGCATATCATTCCACCTTATTTTTATCATGGACCCTTACTTATATATATCTTTACATACTAGACCTTACTCGGTAGTGCTTCGGTAGTGCTTCGGCTCCACATGACAGTGCTTAGGTACCATATATAAGCGCCAGCATCACCTAACCACCACCCCACCTTACTTCACCTCTCACCTTACCTAGCACTTACTACCTAGAAAGTTGCAGTAGAACTCTATTTGTTTACATCTCACACTCCCACATCTCTTATCTTGCATCATATCATCACTTAAGCTTAGTCTCTCTCATTTCCACATACCTGTGCGCACTTTCCCGCGCTTCGCGTTCCCACACCTTTGTGCCTTGCGCGCACCTGCGCACTTTCTCGCGCTTCGCATTGGCTGAACAGTAGCGCCTTCAGCGCATATCACTAGATCCTTGCTGCACTCGCTTCCCCTTTAGGGTTGAATGCACTTGTCATCTCAAGTATAGCAGACTAGGCAATGCGCGACCTTACAACATTTACAGATACAGTCAGGAGCCTCGTTTGCACCTTGCAGTATTGTTGTTTCTACAGCGTGAGCCCTGCCATACCAAGTAGTTGGCCCAATTTCCACCTGCCGAGGTTATGGTGGGCTTACTTTATTAATTTGTACCTCTAGGGTGGGCCCATATCCGTCCATTTTAACCTCACTGTGGGCCCACTATTATTTTTTGCATACTGCTGGCAGGCCCATTTGGAGTGTTATACATTTTGTGAGCCCCACCACACCAAGGTCACAAGCTAGTGGGCCCATCTATGCCTCTGGCAGATACGGCGGGCCCCCTTTGGTATTTAGTAATTCTGGGGTGGGCCCTCATCACTCAGTTCAGTCCTTGATGTGGGCCCACCCCCGTTGTTCTGATACTGCTGGCAGGCCTGTTTGTTCTTCAGAACATGATCTGCACCTGCCTCACTAAAGTGCACACCGAGAGTGGGCCCATTCCTGTGCTCATGTGAGGTGGCCCTGCCGAAACAGCCTCAGCGGGTAATGCACATTGGCAGCAAAGCACTGCCGACGATTACGTGATGAGGATAATTCTGCCGGATGTGCGTGTCATTTCCTTATTTCGGCAGACGCTTGCTGACAATTTGGAAATGCATTCCTCAATCATAATCGGGATCATTCAGCTGGTGCAGATTGCAATTTAGATCCGCCGGGATGTCCCATGTGCCATCTCTATATTCTGGTGGACGCTTCTGAATATCCATGCACCAGTTATAATTGGAATCATTCAGCTGTTCAAATTCACATTTTGCATCCACAGGTATATTTGATGTTCACCGACCCTAATGCCATCGGCGGAGGTAATTGATCATTCAGCTGATGCAGGTCGATATTTTGATCCACCAGCGTGTGCTGTGTGCCATTTCTAAATTCCGGCGAACACTTCTGAATCTGCAGGCACAGGTTATAATTGGCATCTTTTGGCTGTCCAAATTCACATTTTGCATCCACCGGGATATCTGATGTTCGCCAACCCTGATGCCATCAGCGGATGTAATTTCGCTACATCGGAAAACCACGGGCCCACTCAAAATTCTTGAGAGATAGCCTTTCTGCTGTATCATAGGCCCACTCGTAAATAAAGGTTTCTTCAATCTGGACACCCCATGGGACCACTCTACAGTTTTGAGTAACATAGGTAAGGGCCCACAGCCATCCCTTGGTACACAGCATATAGGAGCCCACCCAGACATATATACTTACAACATATGCTGGGCCCATAGTGGGTTGACCCTGGTGTCATGGAAGAAATGTCAAGGTGAGCTGACCATGTTTATAGGGTTAGGTCACTGAAGGGACTCTTTGAATACACTACCGAGCTAATACATGTAAGTCTTCCTCACTTAACTGACATTTACTGACATGCTTTTACTACAAGCTGTATAGTTCTGGCTCAGTCAAACCTAACCATCACTTTGTGACCCATGTTGGTGCTTGTGTGCGCAATTTTGGCCCTCTTAACAATTTCTGGACTTTCCTGTTCGAGCGCCTCAACAAGTTGTTGAAATCGTACAAGACCAACAACCATTCGAACGGTGCACTTGAAACAACCTTTTTCATGGAGTTTCACAGGACTTGTGAGCTCGGACGACTGGTAAGTTGTTGAATCTCTAATGTGCGTCTCAACTAGTAACAATATCCATAGACGTACACATTACAGCATTATCCTAAGGATTCCCTTCCAAGTCAGACAGCATCAATCATGCTGAAGGCCTCCAACGACGAGAGGGGAACAGTAGCTGGACTTGCAGCATTGTCAAAAGACCTTGATAATGCTGGTGCAGATGGTATGTTGAGTTCTCTTACATTTTGTCATGATGACCATCTCAGAAAACATATTTAGCTGGTCTGGCTTATTCACTTAGTCCTCGACACTGAAAGCAAGGAGTGTCCACTGAGACATATTGACTACTCGCATCCACCCTCTGCTATCATTTTCCTTTGACTCCAGTTCATTGTCATTTTGACCATGCCATCATACCTCATAGCCTTCCACTCGATCATGACAGTCTTTTTTGACTATGTCATGATTGATAGTAAGCGCTACTATGCTTCTAGAGCTGTTGGGACAAACCGTTCTTCTCTCGTTTATGTCATCATCCCTGGTACAACTGTGATTCATGCATATGGCGAGGTTCTCAAAATATTTCAGTTTAATCAAAGGTTTCATAATGTGGATGACTCACTCTGGTTTGCCCGCATGTGCTGGTTCGTACCTTGGAGGGGAGAGCATGAAAAAGTTTGGGATGATTTGTGAGTTGGATGCCGTATCTCACAGGATAAATATTAATATTCTTCTACCCAGCTATTCAGCTGATGTCCACCTATGGCAACTGGGAGAGTATAAGAGCCAAGAGACCCACCCTTATCAACCCTGACTGGATCATTGGTCACCTGGGGATGACCACAGTATCAATTGGAAAGGACAGAACAAAAGTTTGGGCGACAATTGATCTTAAAGGTATGTGCTCCATTCATCACAACTTACTTGACAACTATTGATTGAATCACAGTCATTGACACTGATACATGACAGGCTTATGGTACAAGTAACAAGCTGGCACTTCGTGATTTGAATTGCACTGACCCACTCACAGTACTGTTCAAGATAATTCACTGGTCGCCACTCTTGTCACCTTCATCACCCTTTTGTTTGTGCCACTCCCCCAGCTCTTCCAAATACTCGTAGTCCTCCTTTATCAGATCATCTCTTGTCAATGAAGCCCAGAATCCCTTGAGCCATGGAACTCCCTCAAGCATCTCCATGTCTGGATGGCTATTCTTCCAGCTGTCCGCAACCATGTTTTCAAACAGCAAGTTCTTTTTGGCAGATGACGGTGCGTCCTCATTCATTTGCTCCGGGCTGATGTCAAACATCTTTTTCACAATTCTCTTCAACCTAGTGCCCCCTTCTGCAGTTTTGTGATGCTTTTTTGGAGGCTGAATGGTGTTTATTTTGTCAGTGTCCACAGTGGTAGCTTTATTGTTCCCCTTCATTTGTCACAAAGTGAGGAAGCGCAAAAATGCAACATACTGATTTATATTTAGTGAGCTATAACCATGCCTAGACACAAAGGACTTACATCACTGGATCACCACTCTAATCCTACAACCATATTTGCCAAGTTCCCTGCTCCTGACTTCATCCACCTGGTTAATGTGTCTTCACTCAAGTCATCTTCTGAGTAAGACAAAATGTCTGATGCAAAATCAGTATCAATCATCGCAACTGCACCCTCCCTCCCTGTCTCTTTCTCATAGATAACTGCAGTTGCATGACGGCTCTTTGTAACCTGGTGATTTGGGTACATCATATGTTTCACACACAAAGCACAATACTTACTGCTGCACGATGTGCCCTTTGACGTCCATGTTCCTTCTTCTGTTCAGCCTTTTGAGCTTTCGATGTGTTGCTACAGCACATTGCCTGCTTGTGTATGTTGCGAAAATAATCCTTCGTGCACTGCATAATGACTTGCATATCAAAGTCTTTGTCAGGTACCTCAGCCTTTAGGTTTGGACTTTCACGGTGACACTGAGAAAATATGTGAGCAGGAACTCTACAGACTTTGGGGGCTCACCTTCTCATTGTTATAGACATGGTCAATTATTTCTTTGATGAACATAGCATTCACAGCTTCGTCGACATGACCTAACCAATTCGGGTGCCAGGTTTTACCACCTCCTTCCTCATCTCTTTCCTCACCCTGGTGCATCTCATAAGCATGACCATTTCCTAACAGTTTTACCTTCATTAGTGCTTCTGTATGTTTGTTTCTCCCCATGGATGATTCAATCCCACAGAGATCACAAAACATTGGCTGAATTAAGCGCTGCACAGTATGAGTTTCATTCACACAGATAGTAGTACTATTGCTTACTTTTAGGGCAGGGTGGTCGTTTGAGATATGCTTACCCATCACCTTCTTCTGTGGCTTCTTGGATTCAGCTTGCAAAGTCTTGACAATTCCATCAAGTCCATTGACTTGCGCTGTAAGTGCATCATTCGTAACTGACATTTGTGCATTAATGAGACATGTTCTTTGAACGGACTCTGATAGGTGTTGATTTGATTCATTTGATCTCACTACATCTGCAATGAGGCGCACAACAGTTGAGTTCAAATCCTGAATTTGACCTTCGAGTGTATTGCATCAGCAAACTACCAATTTCATCACAGGTGTCACAAGGTTTCACAAGGTGCCACAAGGTTTTACAAGGTACCACAAGACACCACAGGTCCTACAAACTTCACAGACACATAATCAAATACCACACCACTTATAGTGTCTACTATCCTTAACCTACTATATGTTGTTGTAATTACTGAAAATATAGTTGAAATATATATTAATCTTTACTGTACAAGATCTATTGACTCTGAATGAAAATTGAATAGGATATATAATCAGTAAATTAGTGTATAATTCTATTGCAACTATCTGAAGCTACTGTAGTCTTTTTATGTAGTAGTAAATAGAATGGTAGTGTTGTAGTGATAATTGACTAGACTGACTTGGTAGAATTTTCGCATTTTGGTCATGTGACATTTCTTTGGTATATATTGCTATTATTAATAAGGTTTATCAATAGGCTATGTGAAGTAAGATATCTATGTCAACAATATCTAATGATCTGCTCACTCTCTTTGTTGTATCTAGACCACAAGAAAAGATGTCATCAGGCTGTGGCAGCACATGGTTTCCGACGAATAATGGCGATGCATGAAGTGCTGCATTAATATTCATCTGGCCTGGGGTGCGATATGCGTCTGTCATCTGGTGAAGGTCCTCTCGGTCTATTCCTCCAGCACTTTGGCTTGGATTGGTCACAGCACCGCTGGGACGGTGTTGACTTGGAGGGGCTTGACCAAACATTGAGGGCTAGAAGGAGCGGAGAGGGAAGGAATTGATTGTTTCAGGAAGGCCCACCATGGGGAACATGAATCCCTAGAGGCCATGGGGAACGCGAATCCCCGGAAACATCATATAGAAGATGCGATGTTTATCTCTACCTTAATCCAACCTCTATTTGTTATATCCAGACATGATTCAGACATTGAGTTAGGAGTAAAAACGGCTATCCTACCCCAGTGCACATGGTATAACCCACTTTGGGATTTAATCTCGAATGGTCACTTTTCTCTACTTCAAGCGGTAGTGATTCACACACTAGCTATTGTCTAGTTATGCTATGTTTATTGTTGCTACTTCTACCTCAACCCTATCAGGTTAATTTCTCGTTTCCGCAGTGACTATTGTTCTATCATAACGAAAAATATCACCAAGTTGCAATTGAAACTCACTGTATTTAGCATCAGTAAGGCGAACAGCAGAACTCATCTTCGCATCCAAAAAGATACTAACAACATGAGGTTCGTAACCGTTCAGAACCGTTCAGAACAGGTTCAGAACCGATGAAGAACCATCCCAGACAACACAGACCGAGAACCATACTTCAGTTCGGTTAGGTTCAATGGTGTAACGGTGGACCGGACTGTCTAGAACCAGACCGTTGGTCGGGTTCGAACCACAGTTCTGGACCAGACCACGGCAGCACTAAGCACCGGTTGCAGAGCTGAGCACTGAGCACTTGATCTACTATCCCTTCCACTGCAATCAGCACCCCACAGAAGTCGGCACTTTCACAAAACTCATATAATGTGAGTCGTATTTTGTCATGTTACAATGCACATGGTCTCCCTATGTATCCACCTCGATTTTACAACTACGGCACTAATAACAGTCGCCCTTGTACTTATATACAGTGGCTTAAAAAAGTGTCTCAATGTTTGTAACATTTTATGTAATTGCTTTATTATGAGCCAGGGTGTGGGAATATGACTAAACTATAGGGAGGTGTCATAAAGCTATACTTCTTAGCCTCATTTGAGTTCCCTATAGTGTGGGAAGCTGATGTCATCATGTGCAGATATGGCTATTTTAATTTGGTGACTCATTGAGACACTTTTTTGACTTTTAGTTTGATCAACACAATCTCAATAATTATGATACTTTATGTGACCTTCTGTTGCTCTAATCACTTCTGCCACTCTTCTACACATGCTATCTATCAATTTTGAATATTTCTTCTTAGCACTCCTTTCTCACTCTGCTGCAACTCTGTCCTACAGCTGAAATAGCCCCTATGACGAATTTTGATAGGCTGCAAGCAATTTCTTGAATATTTTTCAGAGATATTCAATAGGGCTTACCAAGTGGTACATCTCTATTTTAGATGAGAGTCTGCTAAGAAGCATACAGAAATCATAGATTAATGAGGAAGGTACTATGTTGCAATAAAATAATGATCCTAAATATATGTCTAAATTGGTCACTAGCAGCTCAAATACCACGATCTCAATGTTCTATCATGTCTAGCATAGTCTCTATACATCAGCCCTATTGAATATCTCTGAAAAATATTCAAGAAATTGCTTGCAGCCTATCAAAATTCGTCATAGGGGCTATTTCAGCTGTAGGACAGAGTTGCAGCAGAGTGAGAAAGGAGTGCTAAGAAGAAATATGCAAAATTGATAGATAGCATGTCTAGAAGAGTGGCAGAAGTGATTAGAGCAACAGAAGGTCACATAAAGTATCATAATTATTGAGATTGTGTTGGTCAAACTAAAAGTCAAAAAGTGTCTCAATGAGTCACCAAATTAAAATAGCCATATCTGCACATGATGACATCAGCTTCCCACACTATAGGGAACTCAAATGAGGCTAAGAAGTATAGCTTTATGACACCTCCCTATAGTTTAGTCATATTCCCACACCCTGGCTCATAATAAAGCAATTACATGAAAAGTTACAAACATTGAGACACTTTTTTGAGCCACTGTATATCTACTATTCAATACTATACTTGCTCATTCAAATGAATATTAATTGACCTTGCCCACTTGCTTGACTGCCGAACTGACTTTAAAATTGGCCTACATGACATATCATGACTCACAGTGACATTTGTGTGACTGCCGACTTCTGTGGGGTGCCGATTGCAGTGAAAGGGATAGTACACAGCAATAAGCTGTAAAGCAAACACGAGGATGATGCATGGGACGAACCTTAAAAACGACTTGAACAAACAGGTGCCCAACTTCCTCAACTCCCAACTAAACACATTCTGATCGCTGGTGATCGAGGGGTCATCTACAGCGTTGTTCGTAAGTGGTACTGTAAGCTTTTCTTGCAGGACACAACTGCATCAGCAAATCCCCGGGTTCCTTTTTGTGCCTTAGATTCCTTAAAAATGGAATTAAGGCGGCTAAGGAGAACAAGGACTATTAAGGAGTGATTTCGTACTTAATCATATTTATTCTAAGGCACATGGTGGCTGCAAGTCAGCCTAAGGAGAATTAAGGAGGTTATCTGTGTGCCTGAACTTTCTTGAACACACCAAAGTCTTTCTAGTATTTTGCTTATAACTCACTAGGATGTCAACCAAAAAATGTCATGAGACTATGGATAGACTACCCTTGACAAGGGTTACAACTTTGATTTTCTTCGAAAAAGTTCACATGGTCTACCATCATCACTTATCAAAATCCTAATGGTAGACTTGTATTTTATTCTAAGTCCAATGGATATGGTATATATATTAATTGCTGCCTACATATGTACAAGGTAATATAGCCTACCGGTAAAGATGCTTAACAGTTTGAGAATTGATCATGTGATCTTGCTGGGTCACCTGGATGGTCGAGAGTTCAAACCAGCTCTGTGGTAGGAAACAAATTATACTTTTTAAGATCACTTTGACTGCCTTAATTTCCTTATTCTAAGGAAAGTTAGTTAGTTTAAGGCAAGGGACCTCCTTATTCTCCTTAGAAAAAACAGCCTTAATATTCCTTATTATATGAATTAAGGCATATAAGGACAAATAAGGAACTCGAGGAATTGCTGATGTGACGAATAACGACTCGATAGACAGTCCTGAAGTTAGAGCTCTGGGTAACATCAGGAAAACGTTAGTGTGCTTAAACAGGCTTAAACGTTCCTTAAAGTGTCTTATTTGCCTTAAGTTCGACTTAAGGCCAAGATTTTCGTTGCTCAAAACAAGGAGATTAAGTAGGTCCATCTCCAATTTGTGTTGCGAAATGAAGATCTGGACGGAGAATAGGTTGCATAGGAAAACAAAGCACCATCCGTGCGCGTGCTAGTCATCGCCTTAGTTGATCTTATAATGTTCCTCCTGCAACGGTTGGTATTATCGAGTTCGATACATTGCACGAGTTTCATGGCGAGGAAACAAAATCGATGCACATAATTGCCAGATGATATGAAGAGATGAGTACTGAAGAACTAGAAGCAAATGTGAAGTAGTTGTGTACCTGTATTGATGAGCATCGGCGTGTGGGGGAATTGTACAGTAGAAAGGATTATGAAATGAGTCCGCCATAGAAGGGGCTGTAGCTATGCGCTTGCTGCACTTGGCGCGGTAGGACTAGTCGCAGGGGCAGGCGTCGTAGATGTCGAAGCGGCAGTAGACTGAGTCTGCAATGATTATGCCTGGGGCTGGGCTTGACTTATTGATTGACCTTGCTGCTGTGTTGGTTGTGCATTGGCATCGACATGTTGAGGAGATGCGCAGCAGAGAAAAAGCACGAGATGACCCAACAATCGGACGGGTAGTGAATGCGGATGTCTGGGACGTGGTGTGGTAAGGGCAGGCTGTGTCGTGGATGACCCCTGGAGGGGTGATTGGGTTTGCTGTTGTGTTTTTTCTGGTGGCAACGGGGCAGTGAATATAACCTGAACAGAAATCATTAAACCACGGCGATAGGGAATGTACGCGAAGAGATGTATACCTCTCTGTCCTTGACTGCAGCCACTTCGACGATACGAGGCCCGCGAGACAGTAAGGCTCGCCTTGAGCGTTGCTGGGGTTCAGTATTGGATTGAGACCGGCGGAAAGACAACGAAAGGCGACCGAAGAGTGTATTGACACTCCCAAAAGAGGATGCGAGAGAGCGAGGACTGCGGGAAGAGGAACGGTGATAGTTACCGTGCATTCT